TAGGACATTTGATCTTCCAGATTTTTTTCTTCTCTTTCTTCTCTCTTTTATGAATCCAAATATCCAAAGTAAAAACTGTTTAGGATCTTTTTTTTCTCCTTTCCATCCCGTATTCCACCTGTGTTCTGAGCACTTCACTGGTTCTCGGCCCCTTTGCAGGCACTGAGAGTCTTGATTTTTTTTCATACAACTGGCTGCATTTCCCGCTTTCTACCTCAATGTGAAAACACTCAGCCACTGGAGAGCTAGGGAATTTCCCATCAGCTGTCAATCATATTTACCCACACAGGAATGGGGGGTTTTAAGGAAACCACAATTTAACCACTAGAACAATCCCACAAAATCTAAAGCAAAATTCCATAAGGGAAAATAATATGAAACTGCTCTCAGGTATCCTTTCTAAAGGAGCTTCCCTGTTTATTTCTTCTTACAATTGGCTGAATGTTTCACATCAAGTCTAGTGCTCGTGATCCTGTGACCCCGCTTGTCTTTCCCCAATGTCTGGTGGAAGAAACTGGCCCCGGGAGGTGGAGTGCTTATAAGTTAGTCATCAAGTTGAAGTGAGATCTGGGGGAGCCTCTTGGTGTTCAGTCCAGCTGCTTTCCCTTTCTTCAACAGAGACATGTTTTAGCAGAAATATGCCTTTTTAAATATGTGGACAAACTTCTAAATGTGTACACACTATTGTAGATCTGAAGGTGATCCCACAGAGAACTGAGAACACATCCACAAAGCCCAAGAGAACTTGTACCTTAGGTATAAAATGAGGCTGCTTGCCCTGATTTCTCGATGGTCAAAGCTGTGTTGGAATCCAAATGCCTCCTCAGCTTGTGGCTGTGGAGGTTGCTGCTTTGATGGCAAGGACAGCCACCCACAGAGCATGCCCCGGCTCAGACTAGTCAGTGGTGGGGCATCATTTCTTGGTGGGGACACACATCCTCAGAGTTATGTAGTTGGACCCCACCTTAGCAGTGAAAATGAAGAGCAATGAGGATGGAAGCCATCCACACTGCCTCACCCATCAGCCTGCTCCCCGGCTCATTGCCAGCCAGATCCTGAGCCCATTTTTCCTGATCTTCCCGCCACCTTGGTCCAGGCCTTTCTCCTCCTCCTCCTCTTAAATCTTCTTCAGCTCTTGCGTGTTGCATTCCCTCACACAGGACTCTTTCAAATCCTCAACCATAATTTATCACCATGTGAGAGGATTCAGGTTTGTACACAGTACAAGCCAAAGCCACGTGGGGTAGGAGAGAGATAACTTCTCTTTAGGGAAAGGGAGGGAAGTAGTATTTACTGAGCCTGCCTTAGTCTATGCTGGTGCCAAGTAGCATCTGATCCTCACAACATCTCCAGATATCTCTATCCCACTCCAAAGTCGAGGAAACTCAGCTTCAGTGAGGTTAAAAGATCTGCCTAATGACACTCACCTGGTACCACATCGTTCTGTAGGATTTCACGAGATACAAAGGACCTCCATATTGGTTCCCTGGGATCTCTGGAGAATCTAGGCCCTTCCACCCTATTCTGAAGGGCCTTTCCTCTGAGGTCTGGCCTCTGACTTCCCTCCTCTGGGCTCTCCTCCTTGAACTCCTCCACTAGCCTTTCCTGCCTCCAATCTGAGGCCAAGCTGTGCCTGAAGGTATGGGTCCTCTCCTCTCCCCATCCCCCCCCCCAGCCCCCCAACAAAA